CCGACCTACCCGGTACGGCCATTCCGGGGTGCCGACCTACCCGGTACGGCCATTCTGGGGTGCCGATCTACCCGTGTCAAGCCATTCTGGGATGCCGACCTACCCGTGTCAAGCCATTCTGTGGTGCTGACCTACCCATCGGTCCTAACAACCGAACCTCGGGGACTATTCCACCCCTTACTACTACTATCACACATATCATAACATAATCATACTATCAGACATATCTGGGGGTGTCCGAACTACCCTTCGGTCCTAACAACGGAACTTGGGGACTATTCCCCTCCTACTACCACTATCACATATAACATATCATGCCAGCATATAAACATATCATAACATACTGTCAGACATATATGGGGTGTCCGACCTACCCATCGGTCCTAACAACCGAACTTGGGGACTATTCTCCCCCTACTACCACTATCACATATAACATATCATGCCAGCATATAACATATCAGGTAGTAGCAAACCTAGATGAATATCACAAAGACAATCATCTAACATACAACTCCTACTGGTGGGACGGCATTGTGAAGGTAACTCACCTCGATGTCGTGTAGTGTCTGAACTGTCCTCGGTGTGAAGGTCGGCTCTCCTCGACTCCCCAAACCCTACACGACAACCTTCAAGTCATCAAACCGAACATACAACCCAACCAGGGTCAATACCAAAACCAGGCAAATTCAACATTGGTCAAAGTCAACACTCAGTTGACCTGACTCGCCGAGTTGGTCTACCAACTCGTCGAGTCCATGCTCCACTAACCCGATCCAACCCCGACACCACTCGTCGAGTCTTGCGAGAACTCGTCGAGTTCTCCTTCATTCAAACCATCGGTACCATCTTCATCCGACTCGCCGAGTTCTTCCTTCAACTCGGTGAGTTCATCTCCCTCATAAGAACGTGTCCAGTCTATAACTCGCCGAGTTGTATGAACAACTCGTCGAGTCCATCTTCAAAGGTTGGGAGATTGCCTTAGACTCGCTGAGTCTGTTCATACACTCGTCGAGTCCTATGATTCCCAGGTCCCTTTACGAGTCTAAACATTTACGGGACTTCCTTCCCGAACCACTAGTCCAACCATAGAAAGGATTTAGTGGTCATTACACACCGACTCGCCGAGTTCCAAGAACAACTCGTCGAGTCCCTTCTTGACCCTTACTATACAGTCGATTTAAATGGGTCTTAACACATCAAAACCATAGATCTGGCCTCCTAATGTCCATTTTATACGTAAAGTTCCAAACTTGGTGCACATGCATGGGGTTTTTGGCTCAAAAATCCATAAAAGGTGCTCTACAATGTGCATGGGGCTCTCATGGCCATAGAGTTGGCACCTTTATGCCATGAGACCCCTCCAATGACTCAGATCTGAAAGTAGAACCCCATGAATCACTTCACAAATCCGAAAATGGCTTAGAAAGCCCTAAATGCACCCAAAATCCAAGCCTTAAAGATGAACAACCAAATGGAAGACCAAAACAGGGGGCATTTACCTCGATTGAGCTGAAGATGGAATAATATCTCTGGATCTACAAGCCCCAACTCGAATCCCCAAGCTTCTTCCTTCCTTTCAACCTTCACAAACCACCCAAAAGCACCAAAAATGGCCTTAGATCACTCAAAGCGGCTAGGGTTTCGATATGAGGTGTTCTGGGAGCATAAGGGACGATGGAGGCTGCAATAAGACGTTTAAATAGGGTGCAAACCCTCAAATTTAGGGTTTCACCCAAACAACACCTACTCGCCGAGTTAGTCTCCAACTCGTCGAGTAGGTCACTTAAACTTCGAGCGGATCCCGTCTCTACTCGACGAGTTGGGCCACCAACTCGTCGAGTCCCAGAGAAAAATACATAAAATTCTTGAATTAAAGACATACCAGGAATCGGGTGTTACAAAGCAGCTGAGGTTGTGGTGACCATAAGCATCAACAACCACAAACACCTTATTAATGATTGTCTCACATAGGACGCGGTGGCCGTGAGAAACCTAAAGAAACCGATCATAAGTACTGAATGTGTATAAATACAACAATGACATATTTGGAACAAAAAAATATATTAAGGACTAAATGTACAAAAAAATATAAGGACTAAATGTGTACAAAATGATAAATATATTACACTATTAAGTCATTTTTTCGGTTTACTTGAAGTAGTCGTTCATAAGTACTGAATATGTATAGTTAAACAAGTTGAAGAGACAAATGTTGACGAAAAAAAAAACTCAGTGACTAAATGTGTACAAATCGAAAAATATATTATGCTTTTAAGTTATTATCCCTATTATTTATTTACCGGTCAATGTATGATGTCTCTAATTATTTATTAAGAGGTTGTTTGGTTAAACTTATTTAGGAGCTTTTTAACTTATTACCGGTTTCATACTGGTATAAACCAAAATTAATATTTGGGTAAAGACTTTTTAAAAAATAGCTTATAGCGGTTGCATACCGAAGATAAATCATTTTTTTATAATCACTCCTTAGTAACTTATCAAAAATTTGTCAAACATTTTTTTTAAAACTTTATTTTGATACCACTATAATTTTATTTAGCTAATAAGTTAAAAGTGTTTATAATTTTAAATAAGCTATCCCTAACACCCGCAAAGAAAGTGTAGTGGTTAATAAGTAAACTCTCACATATGGGTCTTAGCGTGTTGATATGGGCCATTTCCTCATTTAGATATTCTGATGGGGTTTACTATTTTTTATTTTTCATTAAATATGTATTTATTTAATAATATCTTATTAGTTTATACAATAGAATTTCAACTATTTACGATCGATGTTTTTATTTTTTTTTTTATTTTTTTTATTTTTTTTAATGCAAAAGACATAAATTATGCAATCACATCTTAACGATTCAAATACGGTCGACATAAATTATCACATATTTCTATACTAAATAATTTAATTTCATATTTAGTTTTAAAAACTATCTCGATTTATAAATTCAAATAATTATGTCAAATCTCTTTCTTGATTGGATTAACAAACATTTCTTTTTTGAACGGAATATTAAATAACATTTATGAGAAACCTAAAAGCAAAAGAGGCCTCTGGCCTTAAATTGTATAAATGCACCGTCGAATACAAAAGATACCCTACAAAACACGGTTCGTGATGCCATGCCACCGTATACGTATCTCATCCAATCTTCCCTACATTCCCTTAACCTTAATACGGAGTATATTTTTTTTATTCTTTTGTGAATTAACAATCTTCCAATTGTTCCAGTCTGTTTATACAATTTTTGTTACAATGGCCAAACAAATTTTAATTAATTTGTCTAACGAATGTGAGTAAACGAATAAAAAAATTATATATTTTTTCATACCTTAAGAATAAAAATAATTAAGACTAATGTGTTATGCACCTCAAAACAAGCCAAGAAAAATCTTTTGGCATGCCATGGGATTGGAAAGAGGACTCTGAAACGAAAGTTCTTGCCCATCCTCCTTACTATTTATTATAATGGTATTTAATATATAAAATTATGTGAATACTACTTTACATGTATCATTTATAAGTACGATAAAGGAATTTTTGAGTGACAATATGATAATTCAACATTAATTGGTGGACATGCATGTAATACTAGTCTCATCAAATGTTTACTGACAACCGGTACAAACCAGTTTAGTCCATTCTAATATCCTCTATGTTCTTACAAATAGAATCTAAATTAACAAATTAAATATATTTTTTTATTATGCAAATGCTAGAAAAACTCTGTTTCATATATATAGACATATAATTCATAGCCTAGTTATCTTGGATTCACCATTGTCATCTGTTGCCAACAATGATGAGCATTTCTCTGAAACCTGACCCTGCAAGCATATGCATTCTGTTCTCCAAATTAGTTTGATGTGCAATAGGTAAAAGGTCATAAGATGATCATATAATTAAAAAGGAAAAAAAAACGCGTGGTGTGAGGTCAAAATCCGTGTGAATTGAACTGAAATACTTCTTGTGGTGTAAGCAGATTCGGGGGAGTATAAAAAGTCAACATAAAGCTGCACCCCAATATTCCATACTTCAACATGCTTTCATTTCCATACACCGTGAATTTTTAACGGATGCAAATTAGGTTGAATTAAATACCCTTGTACAATTCAAATTCTTTCATGTTAACCCCTCTAACATATTACATTTACTTAAGGTGTATTCAACCAATAGAACATGGCTTATTTGGTTAACAAATGTTAACGGTAAATGCTGAAAAATAGAATGTTTCCTTTGCATTGAAGTAAGAAAAAGAAACTTTGAAAAGCACGGAAATGTCCACAATCAAATTCTTGTCCGATATTCACTTTCATAACTACAAATCATATCCAAGGACTTATAGCATAACCGTAACAAATATTGGTGGAAAGTGTCTCAAGCCTTGTTGAAGGTTCAAGTCTCATTTGAAAAGACAATGGGTAGTTTAGGAATACGATATAGGTACATGTTTGCAGTTCTAAAAAAAATAACTTGCAAATCATACATAACACATATAGAAATTATTTTACATATATTTCTGCTAATAGTTAGAGAAACACCGATATGACAATTTCACTAATTCAACGTCATATATGCAAATTGATGGAAATTACAAATTTCAACTAAAGAATTCATTAATATAATAGTATTAGCAATAAATCACTAATATGTAAGTAACACACTAACACTTATATATTCACAAATAACAATTATCTAATACATTGCCTCAATGTGGGTTAACCCCTTTTAGATAATGTATTTAAGTTTTCTTCAACTTTCTTGTGTTAATCAAAAGACAAGGGGTGCAAATTGAAATTCAAATTACTTAAAGGTTTTTTTCGGAAGTTATATATGGGACCCGGGTTCAAAAAGCTCTTCACCGTCAGCACACGGTCTCCTTTGCATATATATATGGAGTTGCAGCTTCCATAACTTTCTTCACCACCAACTTCCTCCTCAAATCTTCCTACTTATCTTACCCCACACACAAATAACTCTAGATATGAAAATGAGTGACAATAGCCCATACAGTTCTGTGAAGATGTTATGTTATCTTATTGGTCTAATCATCTTCTTAAGCACAACCCAGTTAGGTGCTGTTGACAGCAGGGCCTTACGGCCGACACGAGTCAATATCAGCAACGGCGCTAACAGAGATGAGGGAATTGAGTTCAGGGTTTCTTCAAGCATCAAAACGAAGGGTGGTGGCTTGCCGTTGAGGAAGATGGAATCAGCATTCACATTGGCTTCCGGGCCTAGTAAAAGAGGGCCAGGCCATTAATTTCTATACAAACTCGATTTTTTTTTTTTCATCTTTATTTAGCTCTCAAAATTCTTTCATTTTTTGAAACCTATTATTTGGATATACACATGTAGAATGTAACTTTGTAACCAAAGTGTTATAACTTTTTTATGATCTTAAATACCACGATGAACATAGATCATTAATCTTGTAATTGTATTACACTGAAATTTATGTTGTTCCTGTTGAGTTGTGAAGTCAAATTGTTCATTAACCTTATTGCGGCTATAGAGACAAAGCAAATGGCTAGTGACCCATATGCTATTTTGGAGTCGAAACCAAATACTTCACAGGTTTAGGGTTAAAATAAAATACCAAACTCTATAAATAGATCTAGATGAAACTGCAATCATTATTATGAAATCAATAAACCCATCTAGTTAGTTTACGTCTGAACATAGCACGATTAATCAGGTCATGTCAAGTACATTAAATCTTTGTCCTTTTAGATTTTTTCTTGGTATTATTAATTTAAAACTTAACAACCAATATCAAAGTTGTGGTTGAAAACGGGAATGTTAAGACATAACAAGTTTAAAGATTGGAAGCGGAAGGTATAAATTAGAGATTACTGTAATACCTGGTTTTCAGGTATGAGTTTTATGATTTAATCATGTGAATTTTGATGGCCACCACGTGGTGGGGAGGATCACCACGATGTGACAACGTCTTAAGAGTCACGTTCATTTTTAAGTGACCATGTCGTGGTCATGTATTGGCCACGACTTGGTGACGTCTGAGACTTAAAACACTAGATTTCAGGCCGTGGGCACTATTTAAAGGAAGTGATGGATAAGGTTTCATCCACCCTCAGCCTCCATCACCTCCAAGTGCCTTGAAGCAAAACCTAATTCCCTCTCATCCATATCTAAGCCTTTTGTGGTGTTTTTGGTGGCCTTTGAAGAAAGTATGCAAGGATTCATCAAGCAAGCTCATCTTTATCCTTTGGTTTACCTTTTTGATGTAATCTTCTAGATCTAGGTTTTTATGCACATTTCTTCATGTTTATGTTGGTTTGAGTGGATGGATTCAATAAAGTTAACAACTTTATTGATCCTTAAGGTCCTAAGAAGATTAGATGCTCCAGATCTGAAGTGTTATGTAGTTTTAAGTTCATGGGGTTTTTTTTACCCCATTTTCTCTCATTTTTACCTAAGTTGAGTAAAAGACATGCATTGGACATGCATGTCCTCAAAGCAAGGATTTTTATGATACATTTGAGTGTAAGGAAGCTTTCTGGAAGGCATTAGTATGGGGGCTTAATGGATTAAGGGCTTAATCCATTAAGCTAATTCTAAACAAATACCACGACGTGGTAGAGGAACTCCTCGTGACTATTTTGTCGTGGGATAGCCACACCATAGTGACCTATTTAGTTGACTTTGACCTTGACCGTTGACTTTTGACCAGTTTGACTTTTAGTCAAGCATATAGAGGTTTGGAGTGGTAGCCTAAGGTTTGGTTTGTGATTGTTTAGGAGGTCCGTGTAGTTGATTCTGTAGGATTTTCGAGTAGAGGATTACAATTCGTTGATTAGGTGAGTTTTCTCACTATACTATGTAGGACACTAGGTGTTATGTATGCTAGATTGTTTGTATGCCTTTTGCATGAAAGACTGTGGTGGGATCACATCACTTGTATGCAAGACTGTGGTTGGATCACAACACTTGCATGGAAGACCACAGTGTGACCATGGCAAGAAAGACTGCAACGGGGTTGTAGCAACAAAAGTGTTTGTAAGATTATGGTGAGATAATAGCATGCACATGGGTTAAAGTATACCCTAGAACGGGGCCCACTGTGATGTATGATATGTGATATTTTGGGGAACTCGCTAAGCTTTGTTCTTATGGTTTAATTTTAAATGTTTCAGGTACTTCCAGTAGCAGGGAAAATGAGTCAGCTTAATTACATTGCATCCACCGATGATTTTCGCACTACGATATTTTGGGATTTACTCTGATATTTTTATGAAAACAATATAATCATGTTTAGGATTACTTGACTCGTAATATTTATGGAATGGTTTATTTACTTAAAAATTGAAAAAAAAATATTTGTATTTTAGGGAAGTTATAATTACGTTACCAAAAGAAATTTCATGAACCCTTATGCGAGATAACCCTTAATCGATGAAACATTAAGTGGTGAGTGTTATTGGATTGAGAGACTCTTGGCATAGTCAGATTGGTGAAAATATTTTGTACAATATCATCCAAAACAAAACAATGTTTGGATTGATCAAGGCTTGTCCATGACAGTTCATATCAACGACTTTAATTCAGTCTTATTTATATTAGTTTTGGTTGACATTGAATTTAATGATGAAGTTCACGCTTTGTTATTATTAACTTTGTTGCTCGAGAGTTGGTCTAATACGGTTACATCAACAAGTAGTTCATCTGAAACGATTGAGCGTACATTTGAGAGGATTTGTAAATTAATCCCAATATAGGATATTCAGATTGAGAACGTTGATGGTGTTCGAGATCCCTATTGATTATGAAAGGAAAGGGAAATATTATGGATAATGTAATGACAGAGGAAGATCAATCAAGAAAAAGGGTTTAATTTAAGAACATGGGATATATCATTTGTTGGAATTATAAAGGAATTAGAAAGTTTAGAAATTAGTCCATGTAAAACCTTTAACAGATAAAGGCAAGAATGTAACAACCCAAAAAATAGTGATAAAATCTTTTATTTTAAAAATCATTAATTCCATATATCAGGTGTCTCAAAATCAACTACAATACAGTGTATCAAAATCATCAGAGTAAATAGTCATAATGTAGAATCATGAGGGAGATGTTGCATGATCACGTCGGGCACTTCCCTTTCGAACTGGAAGTACCTGAAAATGTTAAATCAAAAAAACGTAAGCACAAAGTTTAGTGAGTTCCCCAAAATACAACATACCATACATACAGTTGCCATGGGCTACCCCCAGGGTATTACAACCAAGTGTCATGGGCTACCCCCATGGTCTAACATCCTAATGTCATTGGCTACACCCATGATCTGTAATGCAATTGCCATGGGCTACCCCCATGATCTTTCATACAAATGCTACTGGCTACCCCCAAGGTCTTTCATGCAAGTATCATAAAGACAACTATCATATAACAAAATCCGGTGGGTCGACATTGGTGCCTTCGACCCACAAGTACAGTGAGAAGACTCACCTCAATAAATAGCCAGGTAAAACTCACACTCGAGCTACTACTACAAAATCTCCTCACACTAAACATATCCAAAATAAAACCTTAATTCACAATTACGGTAGCATCCTATTTATCAGGTCCAAAATCCAATGCTAATCCTCATTTGGGGAAAAGACCATTTTCCCCTCTAAGTCCTCAATCCCTCACAGTTTACCAAGGGTCAAACTAGTCAAAAAGTCAACGGTCAACGACCAGCTGACTTACGCCTTGCGTAATCAATCTACGTCATGCATACCTAGACGCTCTGCTTACCACGTTATAAAGTCATTTCCATTTTTAGCTCTTAATCTACAAATATCAACCATCAATTGCTCAAATATGGTCCAAATAAAAGTCTAGAGTGTTGAAACTTTGTTAATGGAAAAAGGCCTTTTGGTACTTATCCCACATTGGAAGAAGAAAGAAACCTTTTCTACTTTATAAAGCTTTACTTTAGTATTTTACTAATATGATTAAAAGCTTGGGCTAAAGGGATTAAGTTGGATTTGGTAATTGGGCTAGTCAAATTAGACTTGAAAGACTTTTATATATATATATATATATATATATATATATATATATATATATATATATATATATATATATATATATATATATATATATGGTCAAAAGGTTGGCCTTGGGCCTTGGGGCTCTTGGGGTCTTCTTGACTAATTAAATTATTTTTATACATTAATTGCGATTTTGACTTTTATTTAACAATTAAATCTGTTAATTTTAGTTTAACTATTTAACATTTAATTTCAGTTTAGTAGTTTTGGAGGGAACAACATTTATTAACTGCCAATGACAACCTATATATATATGGATCACCAAACACAGATTTCAAGAGTTGGAAAAATCACATTCTTATTAAATTGGTATTCTTCATTCATAATAGGAACATAGAGAAATTTCATCAGAATCAAGATCCTATCTTGATTAGATTGTTTTATCCTCTGGACCGATCCCTACCAAGGAAATTTCTGTTTTAGGACAATACAAAAAGGCCTCAATCTCTACAAAAATTCGAGTTTGTAGTATGTTGTAAACCTACATTCAAGTATGTTTTTCTTATGAATTTGTTCTTGTATTTACATCTTATTACAATTCCGTTTGTTAAATATATGCTATTTTATTAATTGTATATTTATGTCATAACAATCTAAGGCATAAACCAAAAAGTCAAGAATGGATCAACAATCCATCATCAAAACACATGTGGAAATGCCTGAGAAATTCAAAGGCTCCGATTTTCAGAGATAGGAATAGAAGAAGTTGTTTTACTTCAAAACTCTTCATGTTTCCAATGTTCTCACCGATGATTCTCCTTCCCCTCCCACTAGCGTGACCACTGCTGAAGGGAAAAAATTGTAACGTCCGCAGATTCGGGTTAGTCAATTTAGTGATAATAAGCGTAAAAAATGACTTTTTGATAGAAGATTAATTATTATAAATAATCTTAACCAAAGTATAGTATATTTCATAAGGATTCCGTACATATAAAGAACGCTAAAATCTGACTTATAACGAAGAAGTTATGACCTGTCGAAGTTTTACGACTAAACCGGCACGACGCCACGTATCGTAAAAAGTGAATTTTTGATAAGCTACTTTTTATCCTTATCAAACTTGTAACACCCAAAAATTTCAAACAAATTTTAAACTTTCAAAACATGTCAAGTTCATCAAAACATTACAACTTTGTTTTCAAAATACTATCTATCAGAGTATTCCCAGAAACATAAACATAATAGGAGGAGCTGTACGATCATG